TACAGTTTTTCATTATGTCGTAATGAAGCTGTGTTAAGTAAAGCTCTTATTTTGTTATCACAAAAGTGTAATTAGATATCAAATCGGAGATATAGTTCCTACCGCCTAACATGGTTGGGAATGTATCTTAGTTTCGCTATTTTTTCTTCTAATCATGGTGGATTTAATTAAAATTTTGATTGAATTTAGCGGTAAGAAAGTGACTGATTTTTTTTTATTACATCTACGTTTACAAATTACGTCTTTTTAACGCAGGATCATTTGATTATCTCTTGTTAGACGTAATTAACGTAAAAAATTTTTGCTCGGTATTATTTTAACACCAATAATAGATATACCGAGAACGAGTATACAGTGAGAATTTATTGGATAACTGTATAGTTATCCAATAATGAAGTACATACGTACTTACGATTCATCGTGTAAGAGAGTGGCAATTATTTAATTGCCTGTTATTAGACGAACGAACGTCAATATGGCATCGAATACTTTTCGATAAAATATATTAATATGACAATCGTTATTATGACTATGGAATTGTTCGATGAAATGAAGATCTCTGACTTAACGAAAATGATAATGAAACTCAATAATCAAGCGTGACTTTGCACTTACTTTAGAGAATCATCGATCTAACATGGAGACTTATGCATATTGCATTCATACGACTATAGTGTTATAAAATAACAGAGTACCGCACGGAACTTTTTATGCAACGTGTTACTTAAAATGCATGTTATTGAAATCTTTTGTCTCGTATTGTTGGAACCTGAAAGAGGGAATTAAATATCATCATCAGAAAATATTGCTCGAGATAAGAAAGCGTAAAAAAAATTCGCGAATTAAAAGGCAATGCTTTTCATTGCAACAATAACTATTTTAAGTAACGCTTTTCAAGTATACTTTATTTTCGTGTCGCGAAAGCGCGACACAATTTTTAATCTGCCTTATATGAAATATAATAACGTGTATAAAGTACCTGAGAAATCAAAACGCTACTTTAATATACCTATTCTATTATTATCTGCACGCGGTTGAAGGAATACGTGGTAATATCGTAACGATCGTGTCACGCTTATCATTTTACTGAATTTATATTCATCTATATCGTATTATTAGGTATATATGCATGTATCCTTTTCATTATTATCAAAGAGAATTGTGTATGGTTATCACGATGTTCTACAAAAAAAAAGAATTTTAAGAAAAACATTCAGTTCGATAAGTGCGAATAAAGTATTACGATATTCGGTATCTTCAAAGACCATCGTTCACCTCTTGGAAAACTAATGCATTTTTAAGACGTTTCTTTCAATCGAATCAAATGACTGAAATATTAATTAAAATAACACAAAAATGGTAAAGTTGATCGTTACATATCAGAAATTGCATCTATAAGAAACGATGGTTTTGAGAAAGCCGCTAAAATTATATATTAGCGATACATAATATTCTTAGGATGTAGATGTGTAGCAACGCTTCTACTTGAGACACGAGCGAGACACTATTCAAAAAATATCAACTGAGAGTACAGGGTATACGTATAAAGATTACAAATAATTAGTATTCATTTACTTGTCTACATCGTGTTTGACGCTCAAATGGAAGCGATGAACGCAATTTATTATATGCTAATAATTATGTTTTATTCACGTTTCGTGAGCTCATCAAGTTTATCAATTTCTTCGATAAGAAGATCGATATCTCTGCAATTCTCGACTGAAATTTTATTGTCAGTGACAACAAGACTGTCGCAGTTTTTAACAAACTGCAATATTTTTTCTTAACTTCTCAAATAGAAAATTTTTCATTTTCAGCATTCTCTCGAATATTGCTCACGCAAAAGTGAAGCGCGTAAATAGCGTTACTTTACAATTACCAGAGATTCAAATCGTTTTTCCTTGAGTATAATATAGACGTTGCTACGTTTATACAATCTCGATACAATCGCCAAATTGGTTTGCTCAACTCACCGTGCGATTACCTTGCGGTGCATCGACTTTCAGATTTTCATTGCACTTTACTGTATCAAAACGAATCACTGTGCGGTTTGTAAAGTAACGTCCGAACATTATTAATGATACTTTTTTCACGACTTAAAGTATTATACTACATTTTAGACATTTCAAATAAATTTTGAATTCTTGTTCAGAGAATATATATATTTTTTTTATACTCCACGTCTTTGATCCTGTGTGAAAATCCCTGAAAATGACTCCTATTATACGACAAGAAAAGCGCACGCTTTGCGATCATTCGAACATAATGTATGTCGCCAATGACAGCGTTCGCGATCGCGGCGTATTGCCGAAAGTTCAATGATACGGCGCACTGCCAAGTATATCCGCAATAATAATGCGCCTGCAATTGATACAGAGGTACGATGATTGCCGTGTTCCTACGTCCGTTTGCGGCGGCCTTAGTGAAGTCCGTGCGAAGGTAGGGATATTAGGGGTTAAAGGGCACATCCACTATGTTATTACGACTCACACCTGTACCCACGTGTGGTAGGCCAGCGCGGAACAATTTTTCTGCTTAAGAGAATCTACTTAATGGCACGACGTTGCCTTCCTCTCCCTTCCCTTTGCTGACAACAATAAGTCGGCGTTGCAAGTAAATTATCATCGCCGCTCTCTACGAACGAATGTCGCACGCGCACGAATATGTCAGCGGACTTGATTATCATACGATCTAAAATAATACCGCAAAAATAGAAAATAAAGCTAATTGATGGAACGTAATCGCGAAATTGTGCGAACAAGCCATTCTTGATGACTCAATAATTCATGAAATAATAACACGCAAAATCGTATTCGATAAACAAGATACAAATATTTTATTATATTATTCTTTCTTATTGTTACGCTCTTTATAATACAATTCGCAGCAAATTGTAAGATTTAGCCAACTGCCAAACTTGAAATTTCTGTTATTGGCCATTTCAAGCCCTAAGCGACAGACGGCAAACGACAAACGAGCGAGGACTGAATTATTTTTTACGAAAAAGAGCCTCGAACGAGCAAATGGGCCGCATCTTACTGCCGCTCTATGACTCCTACGGGGTTTATTCGTCCCTTCTTACTTTCGGTTGTTTCCTCTCTATCGTCTTGCAACCCCTACTTCAACTCGGCTTACTTAAGCAAGCGAGATCGCCTCTCCACCCACTGGTCGGAGAGTCACCTTGCCTGGCAAGGGTTGAGCGCTGGGCGAGCTGTAAATTACCAAGAGGGCATTTTGATTAAATTTTTTATGGTAGTAGACCGGTTACAGCTCGAGGGGCTGACGTAACTCCGGCTGATTTAATGTGTGCGTTACAGCGTCGCTTTTATTTACCATTCGCGCGGCGAATCCCTGATTAGAAGTAATAATTCCGAAGCTGTCTAAGTATTGTATATCCAGTGAAAGAAATAACACAGTTGTCGTGCGATAATTTGTCGAGGAGCTGAGAATTAAACGCGACAAGGAATATATTAAATCTTTCTCCTGCTTCGTTAATGGAAACGGAAAATGTATCTCGAGTCGAACAATCATTGAGCACCGTTCATGATAGTAATGTATTATCGTTCTTCATCTTTTCATTGATGAAAAATTGATATTCGGTAGCGACAAGTAATGTACTACGGAATGACTGATTTTGCATAAAGTTTTCTCGCGCGAAAATAAATGTACACGAATAGTAAAGATCATTCTCGAAATCTTTCGTCGCTTATGAAACGGCTACTAAGAGAGGCGTTTAGTCGACGGTCGCGAGGGCAAAGTGGCTCAACAAGTGTTACGCCAAAACGAGTTTGCGTCTCTTACGGTTTCGTCGATCCGCGACGCGCTTGTCCGCCCCGCGCGTGGTCAACGAGGGTGTTTCTCTCCTACCCGTGAACTCGCGTGGCAAAGTCGCATATTAATTCTCGCTATATCATTTTTCTTCCCGTAAGTGCCTAGTCCAGTGCTCTGCCCTTTTCGCCAAACATCTCAAGCAGAGATGGAATCCGAACGTATAACGTGAATATATTGTATATGATCATCTCTCGTTTGTTGTCATCTAATCACTCTCTACCTGCTATAGATATCTGAGAACCTAATGAGTATCAAATTTATAAATTAGATTAACATAAATGTATCGAGATATTATATGCATGTTAGTGAAAGCATCCTCGGTGATACCAATGCTGAGCGAGCTCGACAGACTCGTGGAGGGATACACAGGGAGGAAATGAGAGAAAGAGAGAGAGGATAGCGTACTCACGTTCGGACGCGCGCGCACGTGGTTGCGAGAGGGTGAAGTCGCGGCCGGAGTGAGATCGGGGGGAGAAAAGAGGATCGGAGAGGGAATGGAGGCGGGAGGTATCACGCGGACGAGAGTAGGCTGAGGCTCCGCCTCCACGAGGTAACTTGGAATACGGCGCGTCATTCATGGCCGAGCTAAAGGCTGCGCCACTGTTCGGGTCCGTCTGGCTGCAGCGGCTCACCAGAGGATACACTACGGCCGCGCGGACACCTGTCTCCCCCGCAGCATCCGCATCCGCTGTCGCGCCGCCGCCGCCGCCGCCGCCGCGTTCTCCGTCGCGTCGTCGCCGCTGCCGCCGTTCTCGGAGTCACCAGCTGCCACGCCGCGACGGTACCCATGCGTTCACGGCGTTTACGGGTGTACCGCGTGCCGCGAGAATAAAGTACCGGTCGATGGTGCGGTGCTCGAGGAGTTTGCGGATCGTCAAGCCCTCCCGTTCGGCAGGTTTCCGTCGACGGGAAAAGGCTGCCGGCATCCGAGTACCCGCGCGGGTCCAAGTACCGGTGTGGGCACAGGTGCGGGTTAGGGGTGCGAGTGACACGCGCACAGTGTGCAAGTGAGCAGTAGCGGTTGAGTGAATTATCGGAGAGAAAGAAAGAGAGAGGAAGAGGAAGATAGAGAGAGAAAGAGAAAGAGAGAAAGAATAAGAGAAAAAGAGAGTGCGCGACTGACCGAGACGACGGAAGTACCATCGACATTCGTGGTGGAAGGGTGGCGGATGCACCGCGGAGGCGGAAGTGCCGGAGGCGCAGCCGGGGGTGGTATCGTCGGTGGTGCCGGCGGAAGTCATCGTGCCCTCGAATTGGAGCATCCGTCGGCGATGCCGGGCGCACCTGGTTTCCATTGGGGGGCCATGTTCGCGGGTCACCACGCGGCTGCCGCCGCGGGTATGATGCAGCCCCCCATGTCGGCGGGTGGTGAGTACGTGCCAGCCGCGGCGCATCATGGTCCCGCTCATCCCGCGATGCCCATGGATCTACACGTCCATCAGGGATTCCCCTATTTCCCTACCAGGTTGGTACAAGACGCGCGCTTTTTTTTCATCCCGAAAAGAGGGGGTCTTTGAAATGTTTAATTCCAATTATCGCCAAAGATCTCGAGATGAATTTAGTAAAACGAGGCATATGCAGGGTGTATATTGTTCTTACAAATAATACAGACTTCAATAATTTATAGAATGAACTCGTGTGTCCTTCATTGAACACACATTCAAATCTGCGAACTAGTTGTAGCTCTAATTAAATTTTAATCAAAGAAGCATATTAATTCTTTCGAGTCTTACGGCTTTGCGTTTCTTTTATGCAAAAAAAAGGAGAGAGAGAGAGAGAGAGAGTTGAGAGTAGCCTTCGTAGAAAATAGAAAGAACTAGAAAGACGTAAACTATATTACCGCAAAGCCTGACGCCGTCGCATCTACCGTCGCCCAGTCTAGATGCACCGGCAAATGGAGAGGTCGCTTGTCTTAGCCTCAGTTGTTTGCCTAGTCAATATTTCTTCGTTGGGGAAGTACTCCCATATTTACCCATTTCAAGCAAATACTTGGAAAAGTACTAGATATTTTTTAATCTATGTGAGTATTCTGTTAATATCCCGATTGAGACGCGGGTTCACGTTTATTGCAGATTATAATTTGCAAAATCAAATCGTTCTTCTTGGACTACAATCTTACGAAGAAATATTTTAGAAATTACTTTGCGTAAAAAAAAATTACATTATACATATATGCATAATAAACACGTAATTTTTATGGAACGAGATGTGCGATATCGGAGCCTTTATTTCAAAAACACCGCGGTATCGTTCTTTCTTAATACGAATACATACACGCTCTCCATCGTCTGCTGTAATTATTAACACTCTCCATGCCCGTACGCCGCGATGTATAATCGCTCGGAGGAAAGCAACGCGTAAGAACAGTTCTTGTAATTATACTCTTCGTGTGCTTAATATCCCGGCAAATTGTATTAAGATTTTTTCATTTCGTAACTACTAATCTGCCCGGGGAAAATACGAAACACATATACGTCCGGCTGAATTCGCGTCCGCATTTTCGATTGCGCGTTTACAGTCGTACATTTATATAAACATATATTTTTCTTCGGATTATCTCTACGTGAGAGATCTAACACGATGTCAAATCAGTCGAGACTCGTGAGCATTTGATAGCGATTGGCGACGATAACTGATTTTGTTCGAGAGATGTTTGCTTTAGTCCTTGCGATGTACAAGTGTTAAAATACTTATTATTATTAATCTTGTACGTAAAGTATATATGTGTATATTATAAACTGCAGCTATATTCCTTTGGTAAGTGAAGATACGTATCTCTAGCTAACAAGAAGAAATAAAAGCTTTTACAGATACAATGTGTCAACGTGATAGCTAGTCGTATCAACGCCGAGACTAAGCAAATTACGTGCTAATAAGTACCGGAAAGAACACCCGCGGTGCATCGCGAGGGGAGTGAGAATGCGCTAGACGCGAGGCACACGCCCGGCAAAAAACTTATTATAATGCCTGCCTCGTACGAGTTATTAGCATTCCGCTATCAATTATCCTGCCCGTCGTGCTTTCGATGTCGGAGCAACTAGTAGGAACGTCTGTCGCTCTGTATTTATAAAACGTATAATTACGCCAGTCATCGTAACGAGGAAAACCTCTAAAGGGTGTCCCGAAATCCGTGGCATACAAAGAAAAGTCTAGCTGAATTAAATGATTTTTTGCCAGAAAAGAGACGAACTGAAAGATTTCTTCGTTATTTTAGAAAATGTTTCATGGACATCGCGTCGTTCCTTTCTTCGAGATATACATGATATTTCTCTTCGAATAACGATAAATATAACGAAGACACAAGACTCATGTAAAAATAATTAAAATTATTTCATAATTTATTCAGTTTTATTATTTTGTAAATGGAAGCTCTGGTCTCGGTTTCAGGATCTTTATTTCTGAACACCTAGTATGTAACGCCGTGACAGCGCGAATGACACTGACATATCGTCGTTTCGATACGATGCCGCTCGAGAAGTACAGTGTTTTGATCGCTATGATTTTAACTCTCTGCTATTTTTTATTCTCTTCTATTTCCTCCGCGGAAACTGATAGGTGATAGCTCCAGCATGATTCATTGACCGGTTATGTCACGAGCGACGTTACGCGAATAAAATCAATCAAACAGTGAATCTTAATTTTTGGACGGAAGAATACGAGCTTACGAATTTTTAAACGTAAAATTTTTGGTTATGGTGAATATTCCGCTCGATGACTCGTGCGTTTGTCTATAGAAATCATCTTTTCACCTCGCGCCTGTTCGTTCGAGGAATGCTGGTAAAACGGTTGTCGCACCACAGAAATGATAATTTAACGAAAACTCGCGGAGCATTTGACACCGATTCGCGTCGATATGAATAAGAAGTAGCGTTTGCTTGTCAAGTCGAGCGTTAGCGGCCGTTCCGAATCGTTTGCCACAAAAGACCGCGATATTTGCATTGATTCTTTAGAAGCTACTGTGCTTCAAGCAAGAAGCCTTACCTTTTTTCGGCAAGAAGACGAGTGTCTCTTAGTCAATGCTGCTCATTAATTAGACAGGTCGTCTGCCTGTTTTCGTATCGCCGCCCGGGTGTAGGGTACAGGGTTGACGTCAACTAAAAATTAATACAAGTGTTATTATTTACGAGAAAATTATCAGTCAGTATTACTTAGTAGACAAAGAATCTATTGTTGCAAAATGTGTGTGCATGGTATAGTTTCTATAGATGATAATATTAATATCGCAACTCGATGCGTATAATTCTGATACTAATTATTCTCGCTCGTAGACATAAACACTCGGATCAATTCGTGTATTCAGAACGTATATATATATATGCAATGTCTCAGTGACACTCGTCTCAAGATTGGCAGACTACCCAGATATACTAACATTTATCCACACACAGTTATCTGCACGTACGATATAAGATTGTATTAAAATTTCGCTCCATAAGTGAAGAAGCGAAGATAACGAAGAGAGATTTATCGTTAAGATCTCATAAAAATATTTCGATGTGTTGTATAATTAATCGTAATATGTCGAGAAATGCCAAGAAAGAGAGAGAGAGACAAATTTTAAAAATAGGTATATATAATTCGATGTGCGAAACAAATGAAAGAATTTACGTGACTCGAGAAATTTTTGCTTTCCGCGTTCGTTCCCGCACGGAAATTCGGTCTAATTATCGCCGTGTCGCGCATACGTGTGTGTCCGAAGACACGGAGACACGGTCGCACAGACATTGAGAGCGTTATTGAATGATGGGTCAGCCAACTACTAATGGGGCCGGACGCGCGCGAACACAAGGGATTATAAGAAGCGCGCGAGTATGGCTTGCGGCGAGTCAAGGTTGTTGCTGGAGTTACTCGCACATTACATATCCGCCACCGATGGACCGCTGCCTTTTTTTTCTTTTTCGTCGGCAACAATCTTATCGCGCGCATCTTTCCAGAATTTATAATTCGCGATCGAGAGGATGGACGACGGCACCGTCCCAAGTATATGTGTGTTCTCGATAGATCGGGCAATGACTTTCGACGACCGTAATACTCGTACCGTAATTATGATATACACGTTATTTCATCTTCATTTTATCTGAAAAAGATCTCCATCTCGGAAGTGGTTTAAATATCTCGAACTTCAAACGGGACTGACCTCTAATCCCAATCGGATCCGAGGCCAGAGGCGTGCATAGTTTAGCGCGAGGTCTTTGCCCTTTACGGAGCCCTTACGCATGCGAGACTCTAGGGCACTTAATTCGAGTGCGCGATATCGTTGTTCTCGCAAATTCTCTCTGTGTACGTACGAGATAATCTGCAGCTTCTATATGCAGCGCGTTACATCACGAGCATTTGATGGATCTCGTGAGCCGGAGAAAGCCATCGCGAGAAGGACATTCAATAGGTGCAATAGCTTTGGGTCCAGCGACCCTATACTCGGCCGATGTTTGCCTCAGATTCGGGGGACCCATGGACGCGTCGATAAATAACTCGGTTGCGTTTTTATCGCCTCAATTTCGTTTCGCTTCCTCGCCCGATTAGTAGACGAACGCTTTCGCGACTGCAACGCAAACTAATTCGCACCCCCGAGCCGCCCGTATCGAAACCCGTTTCTACCCGTATTTTCTCTCCTCCAACCACCCACCGATCCTTCGTTCTTCCTGTCCCTCTCAGTATCTCCGTTCCCCTTTATCTTTCCCTCTTACCCTCCAACCGCGACGTCGGTCCGTGTCTCTTTCGCGTATCTCCGCACTCTCCTCTCCTTATTCTTACTTTATCTCTGTCCCTTCGTCCGCCCTTGCTTCTTCGGCTATACCACCGTGCAGCCCGGTAGTTGGATGCGCTGACTTTTTTCTCGGCTATCGGCCAGTGGATCGCGCTGCGATCCGCTGGACTGCAATCAGAATTGATTATAGCCTGCCGAAACTCCGGCGCGGCGCGTTCATATTATACAACTCGCCTGCGGCTCTCGTTCCTTCCTTGCTCTTTCCTCGCTTCTTCCTCGCTCGCTATAACCGCGCATCGTCGTCGTCGTCGTCGTCGTCGTCGTCGTCGTCGTCGTCGTCGTCGTCTCGTGCGCGACGTCAACCGTGCGCTCGCTCGCTCGTGCGAGCGCAAAAGGACGTTGCGAGCGCGGCCCTCTTTTTTAAAAGTACGACTTTTAATAATATTCCTAAAAATCAATCTTTTGGCGGGTACATGGTGTTGCGCGTGTAGCAGCGCTGCGTCGATCGGTTATCGGAGAGAAACGCGATGAGGGAAACGCGTAGACGATAATATCCAAGATTTTATAATACACCCGCGGTAATGATCGGGTCGCGCATCGATCGTACGCAACCCGTTCGTGCAATGTAAAAAGCACACGAGGACAGCATTGTTCTTTTGATCTTTTTCAACCTTTTTAGCTAGCGAATTCTTCTCGACGTTAGACGTTTTTTTCATTCCTTTCTTTTCTTTCGCCTCATCAACGTTTATTATCTCGGCAATTCCGGAACGATTATTAGCTATGAGAACGTTTACAGATTTAATGTGTATTCTTTGATAATAATACTACGCGTCAAATATTTCGTCGAGACGAGCGAAATGCAGAAGGTATAACTAATTATACCAACGTTGCATTTTACAAGTATTACTCTAGCAACGTACGTTCGTGCTTCTTGCAAATTCGTGTAACGATTAGCAATCAGAAAGGTATCTCGGAAATCTTTTAGGGGGGTACGGAGTCAAGCGATATTCTATAGCATCGGAAACGTTAATTAATGGGTCGTACATCAGTGAATCCTGAGGGTGTGTGCGTGCGTGTGTGGCGCAGAAGTGATTTAATATCCACTTTAATTAGTTTGAAAAACGCCCATTGAGAAAAGAGAGGGCCCCCGACATCTTGCACGCTACTTTGATACGTTTTATTTCAATACACTTGGTGTATCAAGGCCGCTCGCGGTGCGGAATTTAGTATGGTGATACAGACGCACGCGCGGGTTCTTTATGAGAACTTCATTTAACGCGGGCACTCGATGCTCTGCCACGTTCGGTTCGAAAGCAATTACGGCTTACTCGAAAAATCAATTCCTATTCTTCTCGCCGAATCTTCTCTGCGAGCACGATACGCGAGCGCGGAGCGGCGCGTTTTCATTCGACGATTTTATTACGTGTATTCGGTCCGTGTTCGTTCGTCGTCGATAAGACGGCGATTTGTTCCGACTTTTTCGTTCGTTAGAACAATGTGCGAGAGAGATCGGATTGCTCGATTTTCTTGCACAACGCTCGGAGATTTTATCCCGTCCCGCAAACTGACCGTACAGCCCTCGATCGCCGCGCATTCCATTATATTCGATGATATTACCTGAAGCGTAAAACGACGCTTTTTCAGATTCTCTTGTGTTGTGTTTCCCAGGCGTCGACTCGAGATCTTTTTGCGTTCGCATTACGTGAAACTTATTACATCTTATGCAACTAATGCTGAGGGATAGATACCTAAAGGCGATTCTCGCGCCTGAATGGGTGTATCGTGCGCACATTAGTTGTTCGTAGAAAATAATTATAATGTTTTGTTTATTGCAGTTGGTAATTAACAGCACGTCGATTACCAGCTGCAATAAGCAATAGTTTCAAAAGAAAGCTGCTTATTGAGGCTTGTAATAATTTTGTTTACGAAACTATATCTCGCGGTAATTATAAGGAAAAAAAAAATATACAGTAATCGCTCCGAAACTGCGACGTTCTTCGATTATCGAGCTTTATCTTGAGCTTTTTTCGAATCGTTAAACAGCACTTTCCTATAATGGTCTAACGTTGAGGCACACTACGCCACGCTGCAATAAGTCGTTTTCGCGCGGGAATTGGCCTGGCCTCCAATCAAGTTTAATAATGTAGATGCGGATCAGCGGATAAGAACAGGCTACTGATACCGCCGCCGCCGCCGCCGCCGCCGCCGCCGCCGCCGCCGCCGCCGCCGCCACCGCCACCGCCGCCACCACCGCCGCCGTACCGCGTCGGTTCTGCTCGTCGGACGAGCCACAAACGGTATACGTTCAGCTCACACTCGATCTTATGCAATTTGCAACATCACGAACCTCGAAGCCTTTAAACGCGGCTGCGATCATTAAATCACGGAAATATACTAATGCACAGAACATAATCTGTCTTTTGGATTTGCAAAATGCTCCTGATAATAAACAGGATGGGGAAATGAAATTTTTTCTCTTTTTCTTTTTAATGACGAGATTCTCGTAATGCCTTCTCCGTGAATATGAACATTGTGCATTGACATTTCTCTCGGAATGAAAAATCGATTCCTCATCGAGGCAATCGATGCGATCAAATTGCAAAGTATAGAATCTCCTTCCGCGAGCGTCGATGGCGTAACTATAAATCGCAAGAAAAGTTTCGGCGACGTCTCATTGTTACAGCCTGTTGGAAGTTAATAGGCGACGAAGAAACGGCACCGAGTAGTCGGCGAGTTGGGTGTTGACGCTACATGGGGGAACGGAGTAAAAAAAATGTTTCTACGACCCCTCGGCAGTTTCCGAGCTCCCCAAAGTCTTCGAAGCGTAACTTAGCATACTTTATTTGATTTTTTGTATTGGATAATAGTCTCAGGTAATAGGGTGCGGCGCGCGGAATCGGAGGGGAGAGGAAGGGAGAGGAGAGAAAGAGAAAGAGAGAGAGAGAGAATTGCAGGGAGAGAGCGAACAAATTTTCACGCCCCCATTACTTGCATTAACGAATTTACATTTTTTAAATGGAAGGGTCGAACTCTCAGGGTGATAACTTGCGGATCATTTGTTCCGCGAAGAAATGAAACCACTGCCGATATTGCGTCTTAATAAAGAATTGCTAACATTGCAGAGAGATGTGTTCGCGATTACAGCCCCGCATACATTATACCTACATCTCTAATAAATGATCCTCGATAAAATGTTGACAGCTATCATAATAGTACGGTAGCATGAATTTTTTTGTGCCGTGTGTGGCATACATAGTGAAACAAGAGCTGATTTATCACTTACCTAATAGTATCTTTATCTAAGCGAGCTACAAGCGAAATTGCAGCTCCGATACGAGCCGCTACCTGGATAACACGTTAAAACCGACTGTGCGACTAATGTTAGGT